GGGCCCCGGGCTGGAGGGAACGGCGGCCGGCTGCCTCGGGGCGAGAGCAGTGGCTCGTGCGAAGGACAGCGGAGGGTGCAGGGCCAGGCCGGTGGGCCGCGGGGAACGCGGCTGGAGGCGCGGGTGGCAGCCAGTGCTGGAGGCGGTCCAGCACCAGGTTGAGGCACTTGGAGCCCACTCTTGTGGGAGCCCCCAAAGGCTTTATGCGAAGTGTCGGCGAATACCTGAGGCTGCCATGCTGGGCTGGAGGGAGAAGCCTGGGCTGTCGGGTGTTCCCACGCTGCCCAGCTAGGCTCCGAATGAGGGACACGTAGGGAAGGGGCTATGGGCCAAGTCTGCGTAGGGAGTTGAGGGAGGATCAGAACAGCCTGGGTGACAACAGGCGGCTCCACTCGCGGGAACTGCGGGTGTAGACCGGGAGTGTGTCTGGGCAGGTGCTCCCAGACGTTCCCCTGCAGATCTGAAGTCCCCGGGCCAGCTACCTTGACCTGTCTGGCACCACACCCTGAGATGTCCTTGCATCTTATTATAAACAAGGCATGGCACCTCAAGCCTGCTTCTTGCTTTTCGAAGATAAGAACCTGCAGGCCCACCCGGGATCCCCCGGGGCCTGTGGAGAAGGGTCTTCCCCACATCAGGGGCATGATGGAGCCCCCAGCGCCCACTCTTGATGGGGCTTCTCCCTGCGGCGCTGATGCCGCTCCAGGAGGGGTGTGGTCCGTATAGGGAAGGGGTCGCTGACCTCTGAGGCGATGGCGTGGTCCTCGCTGTCCTCTGGACACTGGCCGATGGCCTGCCGTCTGCCCAAGCTGCCCAGAGCCCTCAGCTCGGCCTGCAGCGCCTCCAGGTCCTTCTGGTGCCCGGAGCAGGCAGCCTGCTGCTCCAACAGCTCCTGCCTGAGGGACTCTGGACGAGGGAGAGCAGTGGGAGTCAGGTTCAGGGTCAAGGCTGGAGTCTGTCCTGCATGGACAACAGTCTCTGGGGTGGGGTGGAGTGGGTGGCTGCTGGAGGCTTTGGGCTGAGTTCCCCCAACTTTTTCCAGGATCACAGTGGCAACAAAACTGTTCTCATGTAAGCCCCACAACCATCTCTCTGGTGTGAATGACCACCCCCTCTCCCTACCTCTGCTCCATTTTAGGGTAAAGGAACTGCGCATCGGAGAGGGTAATTTCCCTAGAGCCACACAGCTTTAAATGGTGGAGTGGGGATTCAAGACTCCAAAGGGCTCTCCTTCACGCTGAACCTCCTGCTTGGCCAACACTGTTTGTAGAAACAAGGTCTTGCTATGTTGTCCAGGCTGGCCTCAAACTCCTGGGCTCAAGCAATCCTCCCACCTCAGCTTTCGCAAGTAGTACCGAGATAACAGATATGAGCCACTGTGCCTGGCCCCAAATGAATCTTTCCTGATAGAGCAGATGCTATTGAGTGAGCTAGTAATTTTTAAGAAGATAATTTTCAAGTGCTAGTAAATTTGGTACTTTACTTTTCTTTTATGAACTTTTGAGACTCTGTATCTTAGTTGTTGTAAATAACCTTTGGAACACCGTTATAAAAATTCCATAAGTCCCAAGATAAGCACCAAGTACAGTGCAGGCTTTGGTGCAGGGCACATGCTCAACACATATTTATGGGATAAACAAATGATTTCTAGAGAGAAAATGAATGACATGGTAGAAGTGTGTTAGTTGTAGAAGATTTTCCATGAGCTTACTAAGCTTTTCTTGAAGGTTAAGTATATTAAACATATATAAAAGCTTAATGTATTCTGATGACATTAAGACAAATAATTTACTTGGTCATCTTTACTCCCCAATGGAATTTTAATAAAGGGATTTTTATAGCTTGTTTTCTTTTAAGAAAATTCTCCAAATGCAACCTATATTTTGAAAATTGTTATCACAAAAATGTGTGCAATAAAACTCTGTGGCAAAGCAAAAACTCCAGGTTGAAAGGGTGAAAAGCCAACATGGAATGACTTAATGAAATAATCTTAACTAAAGTGCAGCTATTTTGACACCACCTAGTTCTGTCATGTTTTCTTAGCAAAATTACCTAGCATGCCCTCAAATCACTAGCCAAGGACAGAACCGGGAGGCAGATATTGATAATTGTTTTATGACCCCCTCCCCAGCTTGTTTTGTATGGATTTGCCTTTCTATTCCCAGCATTTGTCTCCCAGCTGCAAAAGACCGAGCTAACCGAATCTGTTGTGATTGGCCTTCAGTGAAAGCCCACTAGCCCACCACCTGCTGGAGTCATAAGATGTGTCCCCCTGACAATGTCAAGGCACAGGACCTATGATATCAACTCCCAAGAATGCAGTTGCTAGAGATTTTTACTAACCCAATTTCTTTATAGAAACCTTAAATGCACCCTTATCCCACTCCTCAGGGCCACGTTGCTCACAGGACCCTATCCTGAATGTGAATAAATGCTTTTGCTTTGCCTTTGCAATTCTTTTCATTTTTCTTGCTGCACTGGATCACAGTGCCCCCTGTTGGGTCTGACCTAACACAGAGTATTCATTCTTTACCCTCCTCCTTTCTCTTATACTTTCTCATCCTCTACCCACCCACCCATTCATCCATCAGTCAGTCCGTCCGTCCGTCCATCCATCCATCCATCCATCCATCCATCCATCCATCCATCTATCCACTCATCCACCCACCCATCCATCTGTCCATCCATTCGCCTATCCATCCACCTATCTTTCCACGTATCCATCCACCCACCCATTCATCCATCCATCCACTCATCCACCCACCCATCCATCTGTCCATCTGTCCATCTGTCCATCCATCCACCTGTCCATCTGTTCATCTGTCCATCCATCCACCTGTCCATCTGTCCACTCATCCATCCACCCATCCATCCACCTACCCTACCCATCCATCTGGCATGTCTGGGTTCCAACCCCGACACAGCAGGTCCTCTGGTGGACACCCACCCTCCCTGTCCCTCACACAGTGATCTGTGCTGCAGGTAAACTGTGACTCACATAGATATGGGGATAGGAATGACTGGGACCGGAATATCTAATATCCCCCTGCCACTGTGGCAGGTGGTCCCACCCACTCAATGCCACCCACAGTGCCTAAGATTTGGTATCATCATCACAGAGTCCACAAAACCCCTTCTTCCTGGGACCAGCACTGAGAACCCCAGCCTGACCTCAGGGTCTTTCCAGGGGTCTCTCTTGATTCTTTTCTCTAGGAAAGAACCAGGCTGCTGTAGAATGAGAGGAGCCAGGGGAGAGGCAGCAGGGATTTCTGGGCCGACAGCTGCTGCTGGGTGTCAGGATCACCAGGGTGTCCCGCTTGACCTGTACCTGGGGGCCTTGGACCTGAGCCACGTGGCATGGCCTGGGTTCTATCCTGTTTTATGTTCTTTAGATGCTGCCAACCTCAGCATTTCCCACGTGGGCCACCTCCATTGCACAGTAGCCGCTGACAGGGAAGTCTGTGCTTCTCACATTGGATCCACCCTCTAGTGAGAACTCAACCAAGCAGCAAGGTGGAGCGTCCTCATGCATGGAGGTCAAGAAAATGCTCTTCCCCAGAAATCCCTAGACAAGAAGAGCCCTGTCTAGGTTTGGAAGGAATATTTAATAAAGTCCATGCAGTCTTTAATGCTAAGCATGAAATAAGGAGAGGTATTTGTCTCGTTTTGAAGAGTGAGAGGAAAGATAAACTGGGTGCTTTCATGCTGGGAGAGGTGCAGCTAAAATAAATAAATAAAAAGAAAGGCAAGCTGGGTGCAGTGGCTCATACCTGTAGCCCCAGCACTTAGGGAGGCTGAGGCAGGAGGATCACTTGAGGCCAGAAGTTTGAGACCAGCTTAGGCAACGTAGCAAAACCCTGTCTCTATAAAAAATGTTTTTTTGTTTTGTTTTAATCTTTTCTTCTTCTTCTTTTAAAATTTGAAATCTCACTCTGTCACCCAGGCTGGAGTGCAGTGGCACGCTCATGGCCACCGCAGCCTCGACCTGCTGGGCTCAGGTGATCCTTCCACCTCATCCTCCAAGTAGCTGGAACTACAGACACACGCACTACAGCTAATTTTTTGATTTATTTTAGAGACGAGATCTCGCTAAGTTGCCCGGGCTGGTCTTGAACCCGTGGGCTCAGGCAATCCTCTCACCTCAGCCTCCCAAAGTGCTGGGATTATAGGCGTGAGCCACCACGCCTAGCCCCAGAAATGTTTTTTTAAAAGAAAAATGGGAGTAAAGGAGAAAATGAGCAACAGGGATGGTCTACAAACATGGAGAGAGTCAGCCATGCAATGCTGGGCCATTCAGTAAAATAACAGCAAACATGTACAGAGCACTTACTGCACCCTAGGCTCTGTTATGCTCCTGCCTCATGTGTTCACTCATGTAATCTTCATTAGATCTCTAGGAGGTGAATGTTTTATTACACTTATTTTACAGATGGAAGACGGAGGCACCAAGCAGTTAAGCAATTTGCTCAGGGTTCAACAGTTAGTGAGTGTTAGAGCCAGGCTTCAAACCCAGGCGATTTGGCTCTAGAGAAATCTTAACCGCCTCTGTTAACTTCTGACATGCTTTGCGTGAGTGGGTGTTGATGTGGAAACTGAAGAAGGGCTGAGTTTTATGCTGGAGACGATGCAGGGGCAGACAGAGGAAGCAAGGGGACACTCAGGAACCTGAAGCCCTAAGTTCTTCCAATTTGCAGAAATCTTCAGGATGGAAACGAGAGCTTGAGGCAATCCCATGAAACTCTTATGAAGGCCCAGAGATCTGGGGTCTATTCAGTAGTGATGATAATCATAACAGCACCCACGTTCACTGGCCTCATGTCACATGCTCGGTGCTTTATTTTTTTGAGTTGGAGTCTCACTCTTGTCACCCAGGCTGGAGTGCAGTGGCACGCTCATGGTCACCGCAGCCTCAGCCTGCTGGGCTCTCTGCTTCAGCCTTCCAAGTAGCTGGAACTACAGATGCATGCCACCACGTCTGGCTTATTTTTTGATTTATTGTAGAGATGAGGTCTCGCCAAATTGCTCGGGCTGGTCTTGAACCCCCAGGCTCAGGCAGTCCTCTCTCCTCGGCCTCCCAAAGTGCTGGGATGACACAGCCTTGCTGGGTACTTTAATTTCTAGTTTAATCCACATGGCAGCTCTGTGAGGTAGGGAAAATTGGGACTCCATTTTACAGCAAAGGAAAAGGAGGCTCAGGGTGAAGCACCCCAGCCGGTCAGTGGCAGAGCCTGGATTGTCACCCTGGCTTGTGTGCCTCCAGACCCCTGGGCCCTACTCTGCCTCTCAACTTGCCTATGTGGGAGCCTGCAGGGGGCTGGGGGAGTGCGGCCGGGCCCTCCCAGGGGTTCTTTTGGGTATAGATACCTAGCAGCAGAGCCTGCTGAGCCTGCATTCTCTCCCGCTCTTCCTGCAGCTCCTGCTTGGCCTTTTCCTCTAAGGCCTGCAGCTCCAGCCGGTGCGCCTGGTGTTGGATCTGGAGGCTGTGGCTGGATTCCTTTTTCAAGCGCTCCTCTGTGGCCTGTGGGCGAAAGCCAGAGGAAGGGAGCATGGAGGTGGGTACAGACATGGGAGATCCATCACCTTGGCCACATGCCTTAGAGTCAGGGTGCTTTGAGCACTCACCATTCCCCCATAGAGGACTTATCAGGCTACAGAGAATGCTCCAGCCATTTTGTGCCACAGCAGCCATTCTGTGCCACGAGAACCCACCCTCATTCACAGCTGATTGGGTCAGAATGGACAACTGTTCTAAGCTGAGTCAATCTGAGTTCACTCATTGGAAATTTAGTGTTGGGAGGTTGGGGGTGGGGGTGGGAGAGAGACAGACACTGACTGTGTGGCTCCAAATTTAACGTACTCAGGAGCGCTGAGGTGAGCATCTTACATCTGCCCCAGGATCAGCAGGGCAGAGGCAGCTGTCTGGGGAGAGAGTCCAGAGCTGGTGTGCAGAGCACAGCAGAAATGACAGAAGAGGGTCTGTGTGTGTGTGGGGGGGGGGGGGAGACGGGGCGGGGGAGAATCCCTGAAGCTTGTCACCCCCCGCTCTAGTTTGGTCCTGAGAACTGGCTGTGTCCCTGCCCTTGGGTTCATTCATTCATTCTTTTTCTCTATGTATTTATTTATTTTTGCTTCATTCATGCTTTCACTTGACAAATATTCCTTTATGGAAGGCCTACTATGTGTCTGCCCACCTTCTTGCTCAGAAGCCCTCAGGAGTGAGGAGCATGCAGGGTGCAGCAGCCAGGGTTTACAGCAAGACTCATTCCTGGTGGATTTCTCCAGTCGCTGTGCAAGGTTTATTCTGCTCTCATGGCCAGTTCGGTGCCTCCTAAGAGATGCAATTTTACCCCACCTCCCCAAGTCCCATACAGTATAAAGCCCCCTTTCCCAGTGCCCCCAAATACCTTGGACAACTCTCTCATGGCTCCCACCCACCAAATCAAAGCAACCTGTCTGAGGGGCTGCCCCTCCCCAAGGTGGGAGTCTGTTAATCGTCTGGATCTACCGAGCCCCTTGTGATGGTAGCTCATGGTAGCTGCTCAGGAAATACCTGCAGAATAAGTGTTGGATGGTAAAAGTGAAACTTTAAAAAACTTAGCTCATACTTAGCCATGGACATCATTTTATAAACGAGGAAACCGAGTCACAAAGAAACTAAATGATTTGCCCGAGCGCCCACACCTTGTAAGTGGCAGACCCAGGACTTGAGCCCAGGCAGCCCACACTCAGTCACTATCACAGGGCCTGGAGCTTAGGCCCTGGTGGGCAGGGGGCTCCTCACTTTCCCATGGCTGGCCTCAGACCCTCATTCATCCAACCCCCAGCACTCCTAGAACTTCTCTGCTGCAGGTGCACAAAGCCTCTTGCTCCCTCTGCCTCCTGCAAGAAATTGAGGTCTGCAGCCCATGGGGTGAAACTCTGGCAAACACAAAGGCCAGCCTTACCAAGCAGCTGATATACCAGGCTTGTGCTACCATGCCTGGCTAATTTCATCAACCCGGGCTCTTGTGGATTGTAAACCAAGTTGGAGAAATAGAAGAAGAAAAGAAATCACGGAACTGACTTTTTTTTGGTGGGAGGGTGGGGGGAGACACCTATCAAGTGCCAGGCAGTCCACATGCATTGTCTCATTCTTTTTTTTTAAAGCATATTTTATATTTTTATCAGGGCAATACATGCACATAGCATAAAGAGCCCAACAGTATTAAAAGAAAAGGAAGTCAGCAGCCTCCTGGTCCTCCCTTCCTCTCTCTCTGCATCCAGTTCTCTCAAGGCAGCCATTGGCCATTCTTTCTATTGTTTCTTTTGGTATTTACCATCATTAAAAAGTCAGTGTCTATTCTGCTCTGTATTGATTACTTTTGTGATTATATTATTATTATTATTATTTTTTGAGTTGTAGTCTCAGTCTATCGCCCAGGCTGGAGTGCAGTGGCACGCTCATGGCCACCCCTGTGTCGACCTGCTGGCCTCCGGCGATCCTTCTGTCTCAGCCTTCCAAGCAGCCAGAACTACAGGCGTGCGCTACCACACCCAACTAATTTTTTGATATATTGTAGAGACAAGGTCTCACCAAGTTGCCCAGGCTGGTCTCGAACCCCTGGGCTCAGACAATCCTCTTGCCTCAGCCTCCCAAAGTGCTGGGATTACAGGCTTGAGCCACTGCACCTGGTCTAAGACTATATATATATATATTTTTAGTTGGCATCTCACTTCATTGCCCAGGCTGGAGTGCAGTGGCATGCTCACAGCCACCCCAGAGATGACGAGATGACCTGCTGGGTTCCAGTGATCCTTCCACCTTAGCCTTCCAAGTAGCCAGAACTACAGGCTTGCGCTACCTTTTTAAAATTTTTTTAAAAAAATTTATTGTAGAGACGAAGTCTCGCCAAGTTGCCCAGGCTGGTTTCAAAACCACGGACTCAGACAATCCTCTCACCGCAGCCTCCCAAAGTGCTGAGATTACAGGCTTGAGCCACCACACCTGGTCTAAGATTAAATATGTATTTGAGTTCGAGTGTCACTTCACTGCCCAGGCTGGAGTGCAGTGGCATGCTCACAGCCACCCCAGTGGTGACCTGCTGGGTTCCAGTGATCCTTCCACCTCAGCCTTCCAAGTGGCCGGAACTACAGGCTTGCGCTACCATGCCTGGCTAATTTTTTTAAAAATTTATTGTACAGATGAGGTCTCGCCAAGTTGCCTGGGCTGGTCTCAAAACCATGGACTCAGACAATCCTCTCTCCTCAGCTTTCCAAAGTGCTGGGATCACAGGCTTGAGCTACCGTTCCCAACCTGAGATTATATTATTATCCTATTATGCTAGGTGAGGATTTTAGGTCTCATCTCTTCTGTTCCTTATAGATAGTGAATACTTCTATATACTTCATATTTTCATGTATACTTCATATTTTCATTACTGTATGCAAATATCATTCACAGCTGAGCTAGGTAAACTGTTCTGATTAAAATTCTACCTTGAGCACTTTTTTGTTTTTTTTTTTGCATTAATAGCTGCTGCATTTTTTGGTATTTGTTTAGTTTTCTTTGGTGTATTTGACTATGTCTTCCTATAACTTCTAAGTGCTTTGTAAAACACTTTCAATGCAATTTTCCACATGGCCACATCTATCAGATAATCCATCAGTTCTATTTTCCCCTGGAGACATCTCTTCTAGAAAGCTCAGTCCCCTGCTGCACCGTGGACTGAGTTGCTGTCCAGCCGCAAAGCTTAGTCTCCTAAAACCTTCCTTCCTGCTTCTGTATAGAACCCCCTATACCCTAGCTCCCTTTTATTCCATCTTCCTTGGCTCACTCCCTTGTTTTTGTGGGCACCTCTTCAAGAACAGGAAGGAAGAAGCGTCTTCTGAAAAAGTTCCGTTTAAGCCAGGCCATAAGGTAGAAGGTACTGGATGAAATGCACTTGGGCCATCCTGTCAGATTACACATCGTTGCGGACCTGACCACCATACTGTGGTTTTCCAGACCCTTTGGAAGGTCTCTGTGGCTGAGCTGGTCTTTCTCAACTCTGTGTTACCCTCCACATTTTTAACTGATGAGCGGAGCCTGACTTCCCAGCATGCAACATGCACGCCACTGCTCATATCACAAAAACCAGTTGTCTTTTTTTTTTTTGAGTTGGAGTCTCACTCTATCACCCAGACTGGAGTGCAGTGGCCACTCCCAGCCACTGCAGCCTTGATCTACTGGGCTCTGGCGATCCTTCTGCCTCAGCCTTCCAAGTAGCTGGAACTACAGACGCTCGCTACCACACCCAGCTCATTTTTTTTGATTTATTGTAGAGATGAGGTTTCACCAAGTTGCCCAGGCGGGTCTCAAACCCACGGGCTCAAGCAATCCACTCACCTCAGCCTCCCAAGGCGCGGACAAACACCAGTTCTTATGTTATCAAGGTCGCATGCAGGCAGGGAGAAGCAGCAGAGAAGGCCCAGTGGACCTTAGTCTGATTCCTCGCTTTGTCTCTTGCTAGCTGTGTGGCCCCAAGCAAGTTACTAAATCTCTCTGAGCCTCTCTCCTCCTCTGGATAGGGGATGCAGTCAAAATGACCTGGGAAGATGATGGAGGGGGATTCATGCATAGCAAGTGCTCACACAGCAGGTGCTAGAAGGGAGGTGACCTGACCCTCACCTTGAGCTCCTGATGCTTGGCCTTCTCCAGCACGCGCAGGGCCCGCTGGTGGGAGGCCTCAAGCTGAGCTTTCATGGCCTGGTTCTTTTGGGTGATCTCCTGGAGCTCCCGCTGTAGCTTCTCCCTCTCACGGTCGGAGAGCTGCTTGAGCGCCTGTAGGTCCTCCCGGTAGTCGCCAGCACACCGCTCCAGTGCCTGCTGCATCTGCGAGACCTGCCCGCCGGACACCTGCCCTCAGCCTACGCCCTTACCCTTCCTGGGAATCTTTTTTTTTTTTTAATAAAAGCTCCCCGAATGTCACCTCCTCCACCAGCTGGCCTCCTCTGTCTGTGGGGACTCTGCAGGGGTGGGATCTGCAGCTTTTAAGAACCTGGGGTGGCCAGTCCTCCTGGGGCCCCTCAGCTAGAGCCATGGATGCCAGAAGAGAGAAGGAGTCAGGCTAGGACACGAACCCTCCAAGAGAAATAGAGAGGGGACTAGAATCGCCCAGAGGTCCACCTGGAGGCCCTCCCTGCCCCCTTCAGGTGTTTGCTGGAATCTTGCTTTCTTACTGTGGCTTTTCCTGACCACCTCATTTAGGGCCACGCCCTCCTCCCCATCACAGGACAGTCTCCCCATCCCCACAGTCTGCTCTGTTTTCTCTTTTTCCCGAAGCCCTTATCACCTTCAAATGGACTTCACTGTTTACTTACTTGCTTCATACGTCTAGCATTTATTGTCTGCTCCCACCTCCTCTGCTGAAATCTAAAGCTTATTGTCCGTCCCCACCTCTGTTGCTAAAATGTATATTTCATATTTATAAATATAAGGTATCTTGTCTGGTTTGTTCACTGACGTATCATCAGTGGCTCATAGTAGGTGCTCACAAAGGGCTTTTTGTTTGTTTTTGTTTTTGTTTGAGTTGGAATTTCACTCTGTTACCCACGCTGGAGTACAGTAGCACCATCACGACTCACTGCAGCCTTGACCTCCTGGGCTCAGGCGATCCTTCTGCCTCACCTCCCAAGTAGCTGGGACTATAGGTACACACCAACATGCCCAGCTAATCTTTTGCTTTTTCTGTAGAGACAAAGTCTTGCTATGTTGCCTAGGCTGGTCTGAAACTCCTGGGCTCAAGCAATTCTCCTATCTCAGCCTTCCAAAGTCCGAAGTGTTGGGACGACAGATGTGAGCCACCATGCCCAGCCCACAGCAGATTTTCAATGAATGAACACATAAAACCAAGAATCCTACTTTGCCCTGGACCTGCAATGCCCTCTCACTCGGATATGAATCAGGTCCCATGTGAATTTCCAAGGCTATAAGGAGGAGAAGGCAGGGTCTCACTCAGGGAGAGAGCACATCCTCAATGGGGCTGTCCTACCTGGGCTTGCAGTTTGGCCTTCTGGCTTTGCCAGTCCTCCTGCAGACGCCGAATTTCAGATACCTTCTCCTTCAGCAAAGATCCCAGTGGAGGTTGCTGGTCACTTCCCTCCTGGAGGGCCACTTCAATCCTTAGAAGATAGGGAAGACACAATCACAAAAGGTCCTAGCACTAGGAATGGCGCTCCCACTCTGACAAGTGTCAGCACCCTGGCAGGGAGGAGAGAGTTCCAATAGCATTTAGTAGGGTAAGAAGCATCTTCCTTGACTTTCAGAAAGCAACCTGCCGTGTAAAGTGAGTATTATTGCATTTGGAATGCAATCAGGATTCAGCAGGAACTACCTGATATTTGTTTTAGCAGGTGCTTAATAAGTGATGACCAACTGCCAGAATGACTGAAAGCCTGGATCTACTTGGGCCTCCAACAAAGAGGTCTCTATGGTCTAATTTCACAACTCTTGCTGCATGTGAAAATTAAAAAAAAAAAAAGAAACAATAATGCTTTGCTTTAATCCAGCGCTTTGCACTTGTCAAAGCATGCTCATAATGTACTTGGCTGTCCCCAAGTACAAATAGAGGAATTATAAACAGACGTCTACATACATAGCAAGAACAAGAAAATGCTGGTTTAAAGTTTCTGCATTCTGCATCAAGATACGGACAAATGCCTTTAGAGGAGACCAGAGCTCCCTTATAAGCTTTTGAACCAGCTGAGAAATTCAAATGTGATTGGTTTAGACTGGGATGTTAAGTATTTATCGTGTTCAACAACGGAAAGCGATGCCACAAAGTGAGCACCTCTGTAGAGATTGCCAGGATGTGAGTGGTGTTTTGCTTCCCCTGGCAAGGATATCAGGCCAGAGCACCAGAGATGGGGCTAGGGCCTTGGGCGCTCTCCTTGGTAGAGGGGAGAAGGCCCAGGTGGAGGGGGGTAAGGAAGAGACAGTTGATGGAGACTCCAATAGGAAGGGCAGGAGGCTAGAAGCAGCACAGGGATGTGGCCAAGAGGCCTGGGAGCTAGAACTAGGCCACCAGGGTTCTAATTCTAGCTCTACTACCTACTGATTTTGTGACCTTGGTAAGATCTTTATGCTGGCTAGGCCTCTATAACCTGCAGTTCATAATGGTACCTTTCACATAAGGATTAATAGAGTTAATATCTATGAAGTGCTTAAAACAACATCTAGTACATAGTAAGAGTTAAAAAAAACAACTAAACATTGAAAAACAAGTTATCTTTCTCTGCATTCTAATATTCTAATTGTTTTAGATCATCTTCAAGCTTTTTTTTTTTTTTAGTTGGAGTCTCACTCTGCCTCTCGGGCTGGAGTACAGTGGCATGCTCACAGCCACCGCAGCCTTGACCTGCTGGGCTCAGGTGATCCTTCCACCTCAGCCTTCCAAGTAGCTGGAATCACAGACATGTGCCACCATGCCTGGCTGATTTTTTGATTTATTGTAGAGATAAGGTCTCACCATGTTTGTTGCTCAGGTTGGTCTCGAACCCCTGAGCTCAGGTAATCCTCTCACCTCTGCCTCCCAAAGTGCTGAGATTACAGGCGTGAGCCACCGCATTTGGCTATCTTCAAGCCTTTTGAAGGTATGCCAAATGCAGCCCTCTTGAAGGAGCAACGAAGGGGGACACCTAGGTCTGAGTTCTGGGTATGCAACCAACCCAAGGGTTAGGAGAAGGCCAGAGAAGCAGGGAGAGCAGCCTAGAACTAGAGTGACAAGTGGCACCTGCAGGTTGGCTGTGTGGAAAAGTCAAGATCTCCCCATGAATTCCCAGGGAGGGGATGGACTTTCTTCCAGGATAGGGACTCAGTTATTATTATTATTTCAATGTTTCATTGAAGCAAAATTTACATATAGTGAAATGCATAGATCTTAAGTGTATCATTCAGTGAGTTTTGACAAATATTTACAGCCATAAAACCAATCAAAATACAAGACATTTTATTACCCATAAACTCCCCATGCAGCCAAAGTTTTGATTCCATCACCATAGATCACTTTTGCCTGACTTGAGCATCATACAAATAATCAATAATCATGTGATACATATTCTTTTGTTTCTGGGTTCTTTTGCTCAACATAACGTCTTTGGGACTCATTCATGTTGCTATGAATGACAGCAATTTATTGTTTTGTTTCTGACAAGTATTCCATTACATGAATGTACCATAATTTGTTTATTCATTTTTCTACTGATAGACATTTGGGTTATTTATACTTTGAGCTATTATGAAAAAAACTGCTAGAAATTAACTTGTCTAAGAGTTTTTGTGGATATATGTTTTCAGTTCTTTTGCTTAAATACCTAGGAGTGAAATTGCTGGTAGGTATGTATTTAACTTTTTGAACAATCAGATCCTTTTCCAAAGTGGTTGTACCATTTTATACCCTGCCAGCAATAAGAGCATGAGTGTTCCAGTTGCTCTACACTGTTGCCAACATTTTGTGTGGTCAGCCTTTTTAATTTTAGCCATCCCAGTGGGTGAGAAATGGTATCTCATTGTGGTTTAAGTTGCATTTCCCGGTGCCTAATGATGTTGAGCACATATTTATGTGCTTATGGGCCATTTACATATTATTTATTTATTTATGCTGCCAAGGTTAGTCTAAAACCGTGGCAATCCATCCACCTCAGCCTTCCAAAGTGCTGGGATTATAGGTGTGAGCCACAACAACCAGCCAATATTGAATATTTCAGTGATTATCGTTTTATTGACAAATAAAGACATTTTAACCCCTTCGTCCTGATATGTATGTATGTATGTATTTTTGAGTCTGGGTTTCACTCATTGCAGCCTCCAACTTCTGGGCTCAAGCAATCCTCCTGCATCAGCCTCCTGAATAACTGGGACTACAGTTGTGCGCCACCACATTTGGCTAATTTTTTGACTTTTTATAGCGTTGGGGTCTTGCTACATTGCTTATACTGGTCTTGAACTCCCATACTCATGCAATTTTCCTGCTTTGGTCTCCCAAAGTGTTGAGATTATAGACATGAACCACCGTGCCTGGCCCTGATCTGTATTTTTTTTTCTTGCTTTATAGCACTGGCTAGGACTTTAGTATGACTTTAAGCATGTTGTCTGTAGTTTTTCATAGATGATCTTTTTCAGGTTGAGGAAGTTCCTTTCTATTCATAGATTACTGAGCTTTTATCATGAAAGAATATTAATTATGTCAAGTGCTTTTTTGCATCTATTGAGATGATCATTTATTTTTTACCTTTATTTTTAATATGAATTACATTGCTTCCTAGTCAAACATTAAACCAAACATGCAGTTCTAAGATTAAATACCACCTGGTCATGATGTATTTTGCTTTTTTCTATATCACTGGATTTTTTTTTTTTTGAGTTGGAGTCTCACTCCATCGCCCAGGCTAGAGTGTAGTGGCATGCTCATGGTCATCCCAGCATCGACCTGCTAGGCTCAGTTGATGCTTCCAAGTAGCCAGAACTACAGGAGTGCACTACCACGCCCATCTAATTTTTTTTTTCGAGTTATTGTAGAGATGAAGTCTTGTGAAGTTGCCCAGGCTGGTCTCGAACCCATGAACGCAGGCAATCCTCTCACCTCGGTCTGCCAGGCAATCCTCTTACCTCAGCCTCCCAAAGTGCTGGGATTACAGGCTTGAGTCACCATGCCTGACCTATCACTGAATTTAATTTCAAATATTTTGTTGAGAATTTTGCATTCTTGGAGAATATTAGTTTGCAATTTTTTTCTTTAATATTTTTATTAGTTTTTGGTAATGGTTATGCTTGCCTTGTAATAGAAATTGGGGAGTATTTTGTCCTCCTTTATCTGAAATACCTTGTGTAAAATTGGTATTGCTCTTCTTTAAAATACTTCATAGAATTAACCAATGATGCTAACTGGGACTGGATTTCTCTTTGTGAAAATGTTTTAAATTAAATATTCCTTTTGCCATAATTATAGAGCTATTTATATTTTCTATTTCTTTTAAAGTCATTTTTGCTATGTTGTGTTTTTCAAGGAATTTTCTTTTTGATAAATTCATTGCCATAAAGTTAGTTCTTAGAATGCTTTTTATCCTGTTGATATGTATAGAATCTGCAGTGATATCCTCCTTTCATTCCTGATATTGGTTATTTGCATTATCCATCTCTCTCTCTTTTTCTAATCATTCTTACTGTAGTACATAATTTTCAAATAACTAATTTCCAACTTTGTTAATTTTCTCTACTTTTTGCTGTTTTCTATTTCATTGAGTTCTGCTGTTATCTTTGCTATTTTCTTCCATTTATTTACTCTACATTTAATTTTTTCATTCTTTTCTAGTTTCTTAAGATGAAAACTTAGATAATTGATACTAAAGTGCTCTTTAATATAAGCATTTGAAGCTATAAATTGCCCTCCTTAGCTATGTCTTCCAAATGTTGCTATGTCATATGTTTATTATCACTAAATTTGAAATAGTGTCTTATTTCCACTACCATTTCACTTTTTCAACTTATAGGTTATTTGGAAGTATATTTTTTAATTTCCATATACTTGAAGATTTTCTTGGTAGCTTATTTTGATCAATTTAATTTTCTTGTGGCCAGAGAGTACCCTCTAAAATGTAAAGTATATTACAGAGTATATTTTAGTCTTTGAAATTCATCAAGACTTTTTTTTTTTTTTGGCCTTTCATAATGTTTATATTGAGGAATGTTCTGTGTGCACCTGAAAAAAAAATTTATTCTTCAGCTTCGGTTTACAAATGTTAATTGTCTACAAATGTCAATTAGGTCAACTTAGTTGATAGTGTAACTCAAATCTTCTATATCCTTACTGATATTAGTCAGAAATACTCAGAAAGGGGTATCAAAATCTCTATCTTGTTATTTTCCCCTTTATTTCTTTCAGTATTTGTTTTATTATTTTAAAAGTTCTGTTACTAGGTCATACACATTTAGGATTGCTATGTCCTCCAGTTGAATTAACCACTGTATCATTATGAAACCTCTCTCTCTATTCCTAGTAAAATTCCTTGTTCTGAAGTCTACTTTGTCTGACATTAATAGGAGACATATTAGTTTCCTTATGATGACTGTTTTCATGGCATATATTTTTTATTCTTTTACCTTTAAACCTATCTGTACCTATATT